AAAAAAAAAAAAAAAAAAAAAAAAAAAAAAAGAAAGAAAGAAAGAAAGTCACACTCACCGTAAGAGAGAGATCTGGGGTGCGCAAACGGAAGGTGTGCTGCTTAGCTAGTACCTGCCCGCTCTCCTTGACATGGCCTGAGACATTGAGCAACATTGCCCCCTGGTCCACAAGGTGGGGCTTGTATTCCTTGTAGGTCACAGGCATGGTCACAGAGTCCGCTGGGAAGAAAATGCATAGCAATCACAGGCCTTCTTCCCCAGATACAGCCTTCCCAGAAGTGTTCCCTGATGCTACAGGGCCTCCATGTCCAAAGCCTAGGTGCTTGGACACCTAGGGGCAGAACTAGGGAGGGAGCATCGTCTAGGGCCAGGGAGAGAGCACCACTTGGGAGCAGGACTGGAGAGGAAGGATTATCCGGGAGAGAGATGGGGAAGCACCAGCTAGGACAGGGCCTGGGAGGGAGCACCATCTAGGGGCAGGGCAGGGCTGGGAGGGAGCACTATCCATGAGGCATAGATGGGACAGGAGCACCATCTAGGGGCAGGGCTGGGGAGGGAGCACGATCTGAAGGCAGGGATGGGGAAAGACCAGCACCTAGGAGCAGGGCTAGAGAAGGAGCACTTACAGGCTCCTGGGGCTAGTGCCACTTCCTTCTTGGTCTCCTTGAAGGTAGGCCCAGTGACACCCGTGTAGTAGGTGACAGAGAGGTAGAGGTGCAGCTTTACAGTGCGGCGGCTGCTGCCGCGATTGGTCAACACCACGCAGACGGCCAGATCCTGTCCCATCACAGCATCCTGTGCCTCCACTTGCATTGCCACGTCCTCAGCAGAGTCCCGGGTGGCATACACATTGGGTTTGCTGCCATGGGCAGCAGCCTTCTCCACAGCCTTCCGCTCTGCTTCTGAGCCTGGGGGTTGAGGTCAAAGGTGAGCTGAAGCCATTGCTGGGGCAGGCCAAGGCTCTGCAGGAGCCCTCAGCCTGGAGCTGGCTGGGCTGGGAGAGCGCTACCTTCTGGGTGCTTATAGATGTGGGTGATGTCCTCGCGCATGTTGGAGCTGATGGCCTTTGTGACAATGAGCGTGCCAATGGCTTTTTCCTCCACATACACAATCTTGAAGCTGCCATCATCCTGTCGTTGCCAGTACACCTTATCACTGTTCACCTGTGGGAGAGCAAAGAGTAGCAGGCCTGAGTGGCCAGGGAGACAGGCTTGACCCCCCCAGGGCCCTCTTCCCTTAACCCCAGGAGCTGCAGGCAGGGCCCAGCTGAGAGAGTTTCCAAACTGAACCAGCCATAGTCAGAGAGCAGGGAGGAAGCTGGTCCAGGAGGCTCCTTGTAGCCTATTTTGGCATTAATAACAGTTTTCCCTTATGCTATTCGCTGGCTTTACAACTTATGAAGCAGCCCCATATCCATTATCTCTTTTGATCCTGAGTACAGGAAGCAAGGCAGTCATTATTATCTCCTTTTTACAGTCAAGGAAACTAAGACTCTAGAATGAGTGACTTGCCCAAGGTTACACGGCTAGTCAGTCAGCGGTGAAATCGGGACCACAGGATTCAGGACTGAAGCCAGGGCTCTGGTAGTAGCTTCAGACTGTTTGCTGGAGGAGGTACCTGGAGCCCAGCCCTCACCTCGGCAAAAATGAAGGGCGTGTCATACTTCATGTAGACTAAGCCATTCTTGATGGACTCCACGGAGCAGGGGCCACAGCAGAAGATGCCTGGGAAGTGAGGCAGATGATGGGTCTTAGGGGGCGGGGGGTGCGCGGGAGTGGGGGGGGGAGGGAGGGGCCTGTGGACAGCCTGGCTAACAGCTAGACAGACAGACAGCCAGGCTGTCAGCACACACTCTGCACTGGCTGGCTGGCTGTTCTGTCCACCCACAATTTTCAGAGTTCAGGACCTCCTCTCCCAGTCTTCCATCACATTCAGTTCGGGGCCCATAATAGCTCTGTTTGGCTGAGGGAGCAGTGATGCTACCATCAGAAACACCTCAGCTGTTCAGGACACTCTGACCTCTTCACTGGGAAGCGATTAGGATGCTGGGAAAGAAGAAACTGTCCTTATTGTACTCAGGAGGGTTCTGAGAGAGGATGAGCTGGCTGCAATGGCTGGCTGGGACGGAAAGTGTAAACAGGAAGTGAAGGCTATCCAACAGGAAAGAATCTTAACACCTAACGCTCTAGCCTCCTTTTTCATATGGGAAACAGGCTCAGCCAGTGAGGTAGATCTTATAAGACAGCTGGAAAAAGCTATTTACCGAGTGGCTGTAATGTTGTAGGCATGCTACTAGTCCACTTTGATACACGGTATCCATTTAACCTCCCAACCACACCATATGGTACACACACAAGGTGTCAGGTGCCTCCTTGCCAATATCACTCATCTAAGAAATAACTGTGGTAGTCTTAGGTCCTGGCCAGCCTGCCTAGATCCCCTGCCTGATACTTACCCCATTACATCTTAGAACTGAACCAGAGATCAAGTCTCCCAGTACATTGCAAGCATTGCTGGGTTATGCAACCCAGGACCCCTTTTACATAGATGATTGACAGGGAGTAGTGTGGGAAGTGGCCAGAAGAAGAATGGAACTTAGGCCAAGGCTATCTACTCTAGGAAGGTGAAGGTGACAAAGAAGTAGCTGGTGGGACAGGCCAAGTTACCTGGAGGTAGACCCAAAGCTAGAGGGAAAGGACTCTGTGTGAGAGTAGAGTGGACATCAGGTCTCACTTCTATGGAGAAGTGTATGTGGATACAGAGAAGAGATGAGCAGCTGACAGGTCATGTCACCCCAAGTCATGCCTTAGGGCGGGGATATAGAGCCATCTCCTTTGAACCTGTCTGAGCCCTGATTTCTGTATACCATACATGAATGCAGTGAACAGGGGAACAAAAAGGAGAACTGGGGTTCATTCTTCTGGAGACCTAGATAAAGATATTCTATCTCTAAGAGTAACCATTTACCATGAGTCCCATTGGCACAGAATGGGTCCCAAACATGGATAGCCTTAAGAATTACCAAGGGAATTTTTGAAATCGAGATTGAAAAACACAGGGTGGTGTAGTGGTATCTTGTCTTGGTCTGGCGAATTCATTTAAACCCCTGCCTTCAGGGTGGAGCTCAGTGGTGGAGACTTCTGAGCATGCTCAATGCCCCAGGTTCAAAACCAGGGCTGGCAAGAAATAGATACACCCATCCTTGGAAATTCTGACGGATCAGTTTTAATAATCAGTTTTGGGATGGGAACCCCCCAAAATGAAGCTTATTTTAAAAAATATAATAGAAAATAAACAACTTCATCTTATGTTATTCAATTCCATACTGTGTTCTTCTATGTACAGATTTACTACTTTTTTTTTTTTTTTTTTTTGGTTTTTCAAGACAGGGTTTCTCTGTGTAGCTTTGGAGCCTATCCTGGCACTCACTCTGGAGGCCAGGTTGGCCTTGAACTCACAGAGATCTGCCTGCCTCTGCCTCCCGAGTGCTGGGATTAAAGGCGTGTGCCACCAATGCCCGGCTGATTTACTACTTATTTATAACCTTTTCTTTGTGTGTGTGTGTGTGTGTGTGTGTGTGTGCTGGGAACTGAACCCAGACCTAATTAAATTATGACTTTTAAGATATATATATGTGTGTGTGTGTGTGTGCCCTTTAATTAATTATGTCTGGAATACATAAGTTAAAAAGAAAGTAAGAATAATTGGCTTTTCAGGGGAAGGAAACCTCTTACTGAATATTTTTGAGTGTTTTTTAACTTTTGATTTATCTGAGTATATTAATCATTATAAATTATAAAATAAAATTAACTTTAAAAATAAAATTAAGTAGCTTTAAAAAGAGAGGAAAATAAGCTAATGGCTGCATGGTGGTTCATTTGGTAAGCTCATGGGAAGAACTGGAGGTTTGAAGGACTTGGCTCTCCTGCCAAGTCCTGGGATAACACTCAGGGGTTTGAGGAGGTGTCAGGATGGGGTCCAGGCAAGGCCTGCCTTACCACTGCTGGTTTCCTGGGGTGTGGCATCCACAACCTGCCACCCATCAAAGCCTGAGGGTAGATCTGGCCTCTTCATCCAGCAATCATTCCACACATGAAAGTTCCTAGAGGGCATGGAGGGAGCTCTGGGTCTGAGGTTCCCATTCAGGTCCTCCCCAGTTCCCATCCCTGCCACAGCTCAGCCTCCAAGCCTCAGGACATCTTTAGGACCAGTGGCAGGCCACCCCTCATCCTGTGCTCACCAAACAGAATCATGGTTCAGATGCTCAAGTGGTTTCATATTCTCATCAAAGTAGATGTCCATAGTGAGGGATGTGTCTGTGTCATGGGCAGAGTTGAAGTTGGTGACAGTACGGGTAGCAAGGCCCAGGCATCGCAGCACTGTGGAGGAGCCAGGGTTAAAGACTGGGGCAGAGGTTGGGCACAGGTGTGGCATCAGCAAGAAGGAAAGGGCAGCTGAGTTTGCCAAGCTTGGAGGGACCACCAGAATTAGGTGTCAGAAGACCCAGGTGGACTTTGGGTTGCAAAGCAGTTTGGGTTACAAAGCCAACCTGCTTGGCTTAGGCCCTGACTATTGCTTCTTCTTTCTCTCCCTTAGGCCTCTCTCGGTTGTTAACACTAATTAATAATAATTAAGGCCATTCTATCATCCACCCTTAGTGGCACCCTATCCGGTAGCCACAGCTGGGCTGGGCAGAAATGGAACCCTTCCCTCCTTACAGAGACCAGGCTATCCCTGACCATTTCATTCCCTCTACTACCTGTGGTGGTAACACCAGCAAAGACCCAGCATTGGCCATAGGGCACAGAATAGCCGGTGCGTAGATAGCTAAGCAGGATCTCCACGCTGCCCACCCACGCTGAGGGGTTGGTGCCTCGAGAGTAATCGCCAGTCCAGTTCCCAATCAGGACTCCATTGTCATCCAGGGAGTTCACCTGCCCAGGAAAAGATAGGGTGTGGCTGGATTTCAGGAGGTGCTCAGGATCTTCTGGATTCCCCAGCCCCTAACCCTGCAACCTCAAGAACTAGACCTCAACCTATACCCCACCCACCCCTCCCCCAACACAACCGCCCCCCCACGCCCCTTGCTGAGAAACAGGAATGTGAATACTGGGTGTGCCAAGTTTGGGGCTTGGCCTCACATTCCAAAGGAGCTGGAACAAAAAGCATGAAAGGTGGGGTGGGGTACAGGCAGGAGAGGGAAGAAGAGGACTGAAACCCCTTTCCCTTAATACCCTCTTCAGGGACGGGGATGGGAAACCCAGGGAGGAAGGGCAGGACAGGAAGACACAGATAGACGGGGCTCACCATGGCTGAGATGACCCGGCAGACACTGACTGGGTCCCCACGGCCTCCATATGGCATCCCTCTCCGATCCAGGATGTACAAACAGGCATCCAGCACCCCATGATCAAACTGGAAGGAAGGAGGGCAGAGGTGACCACAGCCCCTCAAAGTGATGCTCACAGCATAGGCTAGCACCCTGCTCAGTCCCCTGCTTCCATCTCCCTCGAGTACACAAGACCCAGTCCAGCCATACCTGGCCATAATTCCAGGTCCGTTCGCCAATCTGTGCTTCGGTTCCATAGTAGATTCTTCCAGACTCATTTAGCACATATTCTTGCCTCCAGTCCTCATGGTCCACATACACTAAGTCCTCTGTATCCCCAAAAAGCATAGACCAAATTCTATCCATTTTCTTCCCGGGCCCTACCTTCCCCTTAGCCAGATCTGCAGAGTTCATACCACAGGAGAAAGGGGGGCAGGGTGGGGACTCTTCTAGCCTGACAGGACTGCTGGCTCTAAGGAAGGATGCTGAGAAAGAAGGCTGGCTGTGGCTAGGGTCCTTCATCGGAAGAAGTGAGGTAGCTCTCTTTTCTACAGTGGGCCTCCGGCTCCTCTCCTGGACAATGGGAGGTGGGTGTCTTTGCCTACGACCAGATGTTCAGGCACCCACCTGGATCCCAGGAAAGGAAGCCCTGACCTACTTGCCCTCTGCTCTTGACCCCAGCTGGTTTACCTGGGCACCAGGGGTTGAAGAGGATGTAGATCTCATTGCGGGGGTCAAAGGGTAACTGGAACTCCCCAGCTTCTGAGCGTGTGCGGACAGTGAATTGAAATTTGCCGATGATGGCATTAGGGGAGGTATGGACGCGTAGGTTTACGTTGTGTCCACTGGTCTTGGTCACTTGGGCCTTCCAGCCATCGCTGCCCCCTCTGCCCACTGGGATGATCACGTGGGTACCCTTGCCCACCTCAGGATTGTTCCCTAGAGTAACAAAATCAGCATTTAGGCAGTGAGAGAGTTGCTTTACAAGTGGAAGAGACACTAAGACTTTGGTCAGCCCCACCCAAAATGTCTATGAGCCAATTTGTATGTCCCTAAGTAGGGTTACCACATCAGTCTGTGACAATCTCCTCAGAGCAGCATAGTGGCCGCCCCATGCTCTCCTGCATGTCAGGGCAGAGCCCCAATCCAACATCCCAAACCTGTTCCCCTGACAATGAACTCAAGTAGGGAGGGGATACTGGGGTCATTGTCACCCTCTGACTCCTTCACTGTCCCACTGGACTGAAGGAAAATTAAGTTGAGTCCATTTGCCCCATAGGAAGGAACACTCCAGACACCAAAGGGCAGTGTGGCCTGCTCCCTGGGGTCACAGCTTCTGGAGCCCAGAGCATTTCTGGAGGTGGTAGGGGTACCTGGGAAATTAGAGGCTGGGGTGTGCATGGCTGGGCTGTAATCAAAGGGTAAGAAGAGTCGCCCGCCCCCAGCAGCTGCATAATCACCAGCCTGGGCAGTCAATGATCACCAAGCAACATGGAGAGGGAGGCACCTGCCTTGGGCCATGGCATGGAGAGGCAGAGAGACAGACACATGGGGGCTAGGGCAATGAACAAGCAAGACCCAGAAAGAAGGGTGCACAGAGGCTAGCCCGAAGAGAGTGTGCGGTGAGGTAGATGTCTGGGAGGCTTGCAGAAAGCCAGCTGGGGGAAACTGCAGCATCAAGGACTCCCTGAGAGCATCACTGAGAATCTTTCACCTGTCTCTTTTGCCAGAGGTGAGGAGTGCCAGGGAGGAGCCTAAAGACCTCTCTAACCTAACAGCAGCCCTTCGTCCGACAAGCCCAGGGCCTTTACCCTTCTCCTTGCAGCCCCACTCACCGATGAGAAGCTCAAGGGCAATGCGATCAGAGGACTCATATTCTCGGTTCAGGGAGAGAACCATGTGGAAGGGCTGCCCACGACGCACGATCAGGTCATCATACTCAAACTCATCCGTGTGGTGCTCTCGGCGGTTCTGGTCCGAGCGTGAGCACAGCAGATCCACACCAGTCACAACCAGCATTCCCTCTGTAAAGCCACATTCCTGGGTCAGTCCACAAGGAGCCCAGGCCTCCAGCAGAAGCCTTTAGTTCCCCCGCCCCACGCCGTCCCGAGATGCCAGGATAAACCTTAGGACCCGTCAGGGTTGTTCACCTCTCCACTAAGGTGGATAGCCTCACCTCGGATGATGCCATCTCCAGCTGCGTTTACAGTACTGCCCCGAGACTCAGGTCTCCGGCCACCCCGAGAGCTGGACCCTCGGCTTCTGGAGCCAGAAGGTTCAGGCCCCCAGTCATCATCAGCTCTGTTCCCGCACGAGCAGCAGCCACAGCAGCGAGCCCAGAAGGAGCGGCCTCCTCCTCGGCGGGAACGCGAGCGTCTATCTGGCTCTGGCTCCGGCTCTGGCGACGGTGTGGTGGGGGGCTGCCAGGGGTTCCCACCCCAGCGGCCCACGTCTGAGCGAGGACCTTCCATTGTGCCTGTGAAGAAGAGGCAGGAATGCTCTAACCCATTCAGATCGCCTGTGCCCAGGATGCCCATCCCACCCATCCAGAAACTCTTCAGATAAATTGGTTCAGTACCAGCTAGGTGACTGAGATAATCTTATTCTAACCCGGAGATGCCCCAAAGACCCTATCCAGTTACCCAGAAAAAGCATCCTATCCTGCAGAGAAAAATCTTCCTTTTTTCACCTTTGCCATTGACACTCCCAAATCACATCCAAAAACAATGTCCAGTAGAGAAACCCTCGAGGCTCCATCTGAGGAAACGCACTGTTCCCTAAGTGTTCACCAGTCACAGCTCCTAACACCAATCACTATACTGGTCCCTTTAGAGGTCCAGCTTTTAGGACCATTCAACAGAGTTCATCCCATAAAAAGACAGGTAGGTGGCTTAGGAGGCAAAGTCCCCCACATTCCTCGCATCAAGGAAAAGGTCAGCAGAGCTGTGGAGAGGGCACAGCAGGCGCAAGCAGAGAATGCTCCACGAAAACAGGGTCTCAGCCCACAGCAGTTACGCACTGAAGAGCCTGCCTTTCTGAGCTTGGGCTTGTCCCAACAGCGACGACCTGCTGTGGCTCAGCACCGAGGTGGACGCTGGAGCCTCTCACCTGGCAGCGGTGTTGGTGATGGCACCACTGGGCCCCGGGCCCGGGTGGAGCAGGTCAGGGCGTATGGGACGGGACCGACAGGCTGGACGCAGCCACACGAATGGAAGGTGTAGGGCGGGCCCCGGTAAGTGGTTTATGAGGGGACGGTGGGCGGGGCTGAGCTTCTGGGAAAAGGGGTAGGTAGGGTGGTTGCTTCATCCCTGGTCGGTCAAGAGGCCAGTCTCTGGGGGCTGTCCCCAAGTAGGGGCGGGACTTTCTCCTTTCTAGGAACTGAGATCATGCTAAAGAGGGGGGCCAGGTCAAGTCCTGTCAGATCTGGGGCTGAGATGGAAATGGAAGGCTTTTGGTGATGGACCCCTAACACCAACTTGATTCTTGCCACATTGCGGATTCAGAGAGCATAGAGAGGGGATCCTCTTCCATTCACAGCCCTGTAGGGCAAATTCATTTCCAAGCAGAGATGCTTACTTTCGCTCTCACAGACCCTTGCTGCCAAGCTCTCTTGTGGTACCCAGCAGGCATGGCGTTGGAGAACTGGACCCTGGGCCTAGAACTCATATTTGACAGGAAGATCCCAGTACCCCAGGCTGCAGACAGATGACATCAGCAGCCAGGCCCTCAAACTGGCTCCACCTGCCAGTCCCTGACCAGCCAGCTCTACCAGATCTTCTCACAACCCTCAGCTCACTGCACCCCCACCTGTCTCCTTGCAGCTGCTCCAGTCCCCAGGATGAGCGAGTTGTCCTGCAGTTTCCTGTCTCCTAAATTTGAGATTAAGGTGGTCACAGGAGGAACAATCTTGTTTTCCCTTCCCAGCTCGGAAGTTTAGGGAAGGCTTAGATCTGGATGGACCAGGGCCTCCTGGTATTCCTGTCTCTAACTCAGTGTCTTGGCAGCTAGAGATGAGCACTGCCCCTCATTTCTAAGATTCTTCTTGGCAATCCAGACCAGCAAGCTTCAGGAACCTACTTCTGTACTTCCTGACTCTGGGAGAAACATCAGAGATGTCATTAAGACAGCCCCAAGGCAGGAGGAACCAGGTGTCTTTAGGGATGCTCTCCTTGGGACCTGTCCTTGGCACTACCAGCCAGAACCTTCCTCTATCCCACTGGTATTCCAACTCTACCGACAGGGCATCAATCAGAAGATAGTGAAAACAGGGTTGGCAAAAAAGACCCAGAAGCAGGTGTGGCAACAATTTGTTTGGAAATGTATCTTGTGCAGAGATATCTCAGGGAGTAGGAACAGAAGCTCCAAGTTCTACACACACATACACACACTGACTTTCTGGGTAGTTTTGGAATGGTTTTACACATAGTCCCCAGGCAGATCTTGAAGTCACAGCAATCACAGCAATCCTCCTGTTTTAGACCACAGACCAGGCAGGCATCATGAGGGTTTTTCCCCATTGAGCTGGCAAGCCCTGGAGCCTAGCAGAGGTTTTCCGCCACTTCCAACACCTTCAGTTTACACAAGTGGAAATCAAAATTCAAGGCCGGTATGTGGCAGGTCAGCCAAAGGGTTTCACTGTGAGATTGTTTTGTGTGTCACTTTGGATACGAGAAGAGGCGGGTCCTAGAGAACCAGGAAAATGCTCGGTTTGCCAAACTCTTCTTTTAATCAGTCATCCTCTCTCCCCACTGAGCCAAGTTTGACTCAGTGCCCTAACCCCTGAGCCACTCCCTGGAGGCCTTGTACCTGCAGTTTTGAAAGCCAGAACACAGTGAGGAGCGGTGTGGGTGCACCTCAGGGCTAGGCCTCTGTTTAATCGGTTTGTATTAATTCAGAAGTAGGAAAAGAAGCTAAACCAAGATACTAAAGCAAGGTGTTTAATATCTGACTTCAGCACACAGCTCAGGGACCTTAGGGAAGTCATAACAGTTTCTTCATCAATTCAAATGTTCTAATCATCTCATCGCGAGAGCGTATGGGGATCAAGTATTCCTGAGGGCCTTTCAACCACAGAATGTAATTCATGGGGACCAATATTGTTGTTTTAATAGGCTGGGGCAAGGTGCCCTGACACATTGTTCCTGGAACCTGAGGTCCTGAGCCTACTCAGTTGTGTATAAAATGAGAGTCTGAAAGTGACAGGAGTCACGGGAGAAGTTTTCATGCTCTCCTCCAGCTAGAGACAGCTACTCTGAAGCTCAGCCCAAACCAGAACCTGATCCCAATGCCTATCCCAGCCTCAAGCTTGGGCCCAGTGCTACCCCCAAACCTAGAGGTGGACTCAAACCCACTTCTGATCCTGACTTCACTGTAAACACAGAGGTTCTGGCTCTCGACAACAGGCAAGGTCGAGAGTATCACCGGAGAGCAGACCCACACCCCAAGGCCCTTCCCTTCCTTTTCTCAAAATGCTCAGCGGTGGTAATGGAGGTAGCGGCATAATGGTAGCCTGGCAGCCTAGAGGAGCCTCTCCATTCTTTATTCAGTCCCAATAAGTTAAAGGGCAAGGGCGAGGGCAGGGCCTCCTAGGTGAGGATACTGCTAACAGAGGGCAACATTTCAGTCAAACGCTCCAAGATGCCCCCTTCTTGGCACAGTGAGTTGCCCTGCAGGTCGAGGAGGACTAGCTTGGGGCAAGAGGCAAGAGGCTGTAGTGCTGCAGACTGCTGGAGACCTTGGGCAGGAGAGTCAAGGAAAGCTCAGTAGTTCTACCCCACCCTACTGTCTGCTACTGGACACCCCCCAAACTGGAGGCTGCTGCTTAGAAGCACTTTTTTTTGGGGGGGGGGAGTTTCGAGACAGGGTTTCTCTGTGTAGCTTTGGAGTCTGTCTGGCACTCGCTCTGGAGACCAGGCTGGCCTCGCACTCACAGAGATCCACCTGCCTCTGCCTCCCAAGTGCTGAGATTAAAGGTGTGTGCCACCAATGCCAGTGGAAGCAAGTTTGATGGTCTCTTACCCTCTTCTCTGGAGAAAATAAAGCTCTTAGCAGACTGTAAACGTCTAGCTAAAGAGGGGATTGTGGGAAGCAGGGATCATCAGGGGATGTGGACAGCTGTCACGTGGTACTTATGACTCATGAGAGGCTTCCCAGTGGAAATGTGGGTCAGAGGTGCTCTAACCTCACATCTTCAAGAGAAATCAGAGCTCATGATTTTCAAAAAATACAGAACTTCCTCATTTCTAGACCCTAAGAATCCGACAGGTTGCCTATCTGTGAACCTTGGTTTGAGAAAGTCACACATCACAGAACTCCAGAGCAAAAGCTAATAACAGTCCCAGACAGTCCGTCCCAGGCTATCATCTCCACTCTGCTCACCCTGCCCAAGTCCTGTTTCCTGCCCTGCCTTGAGATGACCCTGTCTGTGTCTGCGGTTTGTCCCTCTGTGGCCTGCTCCTCACCCTATGAGCTGTCTGCAAAACAGACAGAAGGAAGGATACGGTTATTGCATAGTAACAGCTCCTGCAGCCGGGGAAGGTTAGCCACGCCATCCAAGGACTCTAGGGCATTATCATTGGCCTGCAGCACCTGAGGAGCACAGCATTGGGGAGACACAAGGTCAAACAGGCAGCCTGAGACTGGTACAAGTCATGGAGGGGCCAAGAGTGACCAGCTTAGTGTGCGAGAAAGCTCATAGGGCCAGGCTGGGTGGTAGAGCGGGCTGGGAAAGCAGTTACCTGTAGGAGCCAGGGAGTCCCAGACATTGCTGTAACATGGGCAATCTTCTGAGTGGAAAAAGAGGGAAAGGGCCCACCCCAGATTGCAAGGGAATTAAGAACACTTTACCTCAAGACAACGTAAAGCACCCAGGGCTGGGGGCAGGGCTCGGAGACGATTATGTGACAGGTCTAGATGAGTGACCAAGAGCAGTTGTTCCAGATGGCAGAGCACTGTCAGATCCTAGGAGTGGAGGACAGGGTGAAAAACTCAGCAAGAGCTTGGAGATCTTTAGCCACCTGTTCTGTGTTCCAAATGGACCTTAGAAGACTCTTGTTATAGGCTAGCAGCATGTAAAAAACAAATAGCCCAATGCATACGAGCACATGCTATGTCAGGGATGGGACAGATAAACAGTTATGGTGGGGTGGCCAGTGGCAGTGGACGGGGATAGGAAACCTCAGGTGTGGAAGGGACAGAGGACAGTGGCATGTCCCACAGCACATAGAAAAGGCAGGAGAGGGCCTGTGGCGGGCTGCAGTGACGAGGTAAAACTGATTTGTTAAGATGACTAGGAAGGCCAGGCAGTGGTGGTGCATGCCTTTAATCCCAGACTCAGGAGGCAGAAGCAGGAGAATGGGGGCCAGTGAGTTCAAGGCCAGCCTGGTCTACAGAGAAAGTTCCAGGAAAGCCAGGGCAGTTACACAGAGAAAACCTATCTCGAACAAACAAACGAACATTGCTAGGAAGGACTAGAAACAGAAAAAGTAGAGCCTGGAAGGCTTCCAGAAATCTCTAGAAACTTCAGGTTTTAGGTTTTGGGGGCCCTGATCCAGGGTGAAAAGCATGGGAAGGCACAGCATGGGTAGTGAAAGGGTCTTTTTTTAAAAAAAATTTTGTTTGTTTTTCAGTATTAGGATTTGAACCCAGGGCCTTATATATGTTAGGTAAGTGATCTACCAATGAGCTCTATCCCTAGTACAATGATGACTCAGGGTTCAGAACCAGGGAACATACAGGATGATGAACTACTGAAGGAAAAAAAAAAAAAAAGCAAGACCTAGCAAAGGAGTAGGCCAAAAGAAAGGTGATGGATTCAACCTGGTGGGGAGGAAATGTCTGGGAAGGCAGCTGTGGTAAAGGTGAAGGTAGACACAGTGAAGGCAGCAGGTGGAGGCCTAGGGAAGGAGCGGGTGCTGAGCCCATACCTTGTGAGCCAGGTGCAGCACGCGCACCTCGGCATACTCCATCTTGAGGACACTGTTTTCCAGCAGGAACTTGCTGCGCAGGTCATCCAAGTAGGCTGCTCGCATTGGGTCCACAGCCTGGCGGGAAAGAAGCAGACAGTCTTGGGGGTCAGCTGTCTTCTAACTGCCCACTGGGCCTCCCCTGGCCTGTACCCCCAGGCCCAACTTGCTTTGAGGGTGTGGAAGTACTGCAGCGTCTCTTTCTCATAGAGGAGGGGGTCCAGTGCCCGCATCAGCAGGATGATGGTCAGCAGGCACCCTGGGGAGAGGGCAGAGAAATCTTTATAGTGTCTTGAGACCCCTTCCTCAGGGAGGTTCCCTGAACAGGCCTTCTCAGTGTGGTTCTTGGGAGCTGGCTCAGGGGATATCCTCACATTTATTCTCAGGCTCCAGCTCCTGTAGCTCCTTACAAGATTCAAGCTCGGACTGTAGCACTGTGGACTTTTCCACCGACAGCTCACACCTGAGAGTAGGCAGGTTAGGGAGGGTAGGCTGCCCACAGCCATCCCCCTCCCCCAGGCCCAGGCTGCCCCATCGCCCTCCCTCGTGGTGTGCAGAGCCCCTCTGATTTGGGCTCCTTCTCATCACCTGAACAGCTGCTCATCAGTGGCTGAGTCTCGGCACCAGCACTCCTGGCGGCCTAGGGGAAAGGGCAAGTAGTAGGATGGGGCAGTGTGCGGAGAGGAGAGAGAAGACCGGGGAGCGGTGCAGTGAGTGGAGTTTTAGACGGCATCACCTTTGAAAAGCACACACTCCTTCTGGGCATCACTTGCTGTCCAGATGACACGAAAGGTGTGCTGGGGCAACTGGTCGTTGAGAGAGGCGGCAGGCAGGTCACATAGCTGGGAGCACCGGGTCAAGGAAATGTGCTACCTCACCGCCATTCTGACTGACCCACCCTAGTCCTGCCCCACGCCCTCATTTCTGCCCCACCAATTCTGGGATACCCAGACATGGCTGGGCCGGTTCCTGCCATCTGGAGTCCTCCACTCCACACTCAGAGGTGCCTCATCAACCATAAGCAGCAAAGTCCCCATCCTGGAGCTCACCTGCCATGGGGGACAGAGACACTCATTATTAGCTCTAACAGCCTCAGACTCAAGAGTCCCCATGATGCTTTTAGTAAAACCATTTGACTCACTGTCAGGGGACGAGAAAAGCAGACTGACAGACAGGCCTCATCGCGGCTCACATGTAGGCAACGCAGAACATCCTGGGGCTCCGCTGGGGAGAGAGACAGCCTTGGTTCAACTCAAGTCATCTTCGTTTCCTTCTTAGTCTCAAACACCCTGCTCTCTTCCCAGTGCTTACCCCGACCCAGGAGCCAGCGGTGATAGAACCAGGCACTCTGATCATTGGGGTCAGTAAAGAAGGCGTTCTGCACCAACTCCAGCTCTGTGGGGCCGGGGAGGCAAGGGGTTGTATCAGTACGCGGGTAGGATCCTAGCTATTCCAACAGCTCTCCAGCCCCAAGTTTCATTTGTACCCTGGCCTTACACAGGAATAGCATGGGTCATTTTTATTTTTCCCATCAGACACCTGAGCTCCTTGAAGCCAGGAACTGAGTGGTAGGTACACCCCAAAGACCAGTAAGGAGCTCAGTAAGGCAGGCTTAGAACAGGGTTGAACAGGCATCAGGACTTTGGTGGCGCTGCAGAATCCTTACCAGGATCCTCTAGGCCAGTGGTTCTCAACCTTCCAGATGCTGTGATCCTTAACTACAGCTCTTCATGTTGTGGTGATCCCCAACCATAAAATTATTTCCAGTGCTACTTCGTAACTGTAATTTTGCTACTGTTATGAATCGCAATGTAAATATCTGTGTTTTCCGATGGTCTTAGGCGACCCTTTGAAGAGGTCTTTTGACTCCCTCAAAGAACCACTGCTCTAGGCCCACTTACCTTTCAGCAGTACGTTTTCAGGGAGGCGTCCCTGTGGGCCAGAGTCTGGCTGGGGGTGCAGCTGGGGCAAGAGGCAGGAGCGGTAATGCCAGGAGGAATAGTTGGAGAAGTTCCGGGTGATGAGGCTATCAGTGAAGGCTAGTTCCTCTGCAGGAGCTACAGCAGCCTGTGCAGCTACAAATCGCCGGTAGTCCCAGCAGTGAACTAAGGGGGTTGAGGGTGGGGACCTATCTCAGAAGCAGGACAAAGAGGAGCTACTCCACTGATAGCCCCAGAATTCCCTCAGAGAGCCCTAGAAATACTTTGATGCAAACCACACAGGCTGCATCTGGCTCCACCATCCCTTTCAGCATTACCCCAGTGGATGTCGGTGCTGGATCCTGGGCATTCCAGCCCATTCTGGGCCTAATGAAGACCCAGTATCAGGATGTGGGACACAGGGGGATATGGGGACAGGACTGTGGGCACTTACAGTTCCGCTCATCCACTTCGAGGAAGCGGGCACACAGTTCCAGCTCCCGAGCCCAGTTGGGTTCAGGCAGGCGGCCTAGCAGCCAGCAGCGGTGGTGCCAGGTGCCATAGGACTTAGGGTTCACACGTAGACAGCTCTCTAGGAAGCCTAGCTCTGCCTTCACAAGAGCATCCAACTCCTCGGGGGACCTGTACCACAGCAGAAAGGGAGGTCAGAGCCTCTCAACACCCAGCCACAACTTCTCCCTCCCTTCCTGCATCTGGTCCCCCCACCATCCTATCTCTATGTCCCTGGATACCCCATTCCTCCTCCAGTTCTGCACCCAGGCAGGACCAGGGCAGGGACCTGAACCATTACATACTTCTGGGTTTCTAGCTGCTGGAGCACTTCTCGGCGACAGTTCCATAGGGTGGCAAAATCAGGGTTGGCTCCCAGAATCTGGCTTGTCAGTTCTAACACTGACTCGTCCAGCTCGCCAGCCTGCCGCTAAGAAGACAGGTTACAGAGTCAGTGGCCACAGCATTTTCCCAGCTCTAGGTTAAACATTATAAACTCAGAACCACCCAATGGTGGCACTATGCAACAGGTACTATGCAAATCCTTGTAGAGCCTCACAGGTATTGTCTCTTTAAATCTCTACAACACTCTTATGCAGGATCTACGGTTATTAGCTCCATTTTACAGCTGAGCAAATTGAAGACAGATAGAGTTTCAGTGATTCGCCCAAGGCAACACAGCAACAACAGACATAATTCAGATTTGGATCCCTGCAGTTTGACTCTAGGGTCAAGCTTTTGGTTTCTGTGTTTTACTTGGGGATTGGGGCTACCTCTGAGGGTCCCACCTTCTGGAAGACAGCTTGAGTGGCTGACTGGTAGAGCTTCAGCTTCTGCTCCCGTTCTAGCCTTTTGGCTTCTGCCTGCTCTTCAGACGTCTTCACCTTCAGGCGCCCATGCTACGGGGATGGGTAGGGGGATAAAAATGCAGGTTGTCTTGCAGGGGCAGACTTGCAGAAGCCCCACAGAAAGCCACGCGGGGTGAGGGCGTGGGCATGCAGGGGCAGGGGGCTGGACTCACCATGGTGTCGGCTCAGCGTCGGGGACAGAGGAAGGGTCCAGAGGAGGGGTCCTGAGGTAGTTCGTTCAGTCTGCGAAGAAAGATGTCAATCACGGAACCCCGCCCACACAGCCCCGCCCCCCAGGTGTTTCCCGGAAGCTGCCCGCGGGCCTGAGTGAAGAGGTCCCGCGGCTGGAACTGCGAGATCAGGCGGAGGCACTCACCACAAGGCACCCGGAGAGAGCAGTGCCCGCCCGTCCCGCTGATCCCAGCACCCTCTCCCCCGCGGGCGAACCCACCTTCTCTGGGAAGAGGTGTCGGGACGTGCAGCCCGGCGCTGCCACCGAGTTCCAGCCTGGCTAGAGAGGCTTCGCGCCGTGTGAGGGGAGGCGCGGCGCCCCCTGCAGGCTCGGGGAGGGAGCTGCGTGTGTGTCATCCAGTTCTTGTTAGCGCCTAGGAGTGTGTGAGCAAAGGTGGCTGGCGAATGTGTGAATGACATGGAAAGGCTTCCCGTTACCAACTCAAACTGCAACCTAGTTGAAGAAGTTTCCCCAACAACCTGACACCAGCGAATTTCGGCTGTCAAAAACTCTCAGGTTCCTGCCTGCTCTCTTAATTTCATCCACAGTCATGGTTGCTATCGGGAAGGTGATGGTACCCAAGTCTCTAGCCCAGATGTCCGTCCACATGCATAATGATAATGATAATAATAATTACATATCAGTATACGTATGCGTTGACACATTCAGAAGCCCATTGGAAAAAGCCAGGGGCCGTGGTGGTGCTTGTAATATCAGCTTCTCAGGAGGTTGATGCAGGAAGTTCTCAACCTTCCTAACGCTTTGATACAGTTCCCCATGTGGTGATCCCCAGACATAAAGTGATTTCATTGCCACTTCATAACTGTAATTTACTACTGTTATGAGTCATAATAGAAATATCTGATCTGCAGAACAGCTGCTATGCGACCCCCAAAGGGTTGGTGACCCACAGGTTGAGAACCACTTAAACTCTATAGAGTTTAAGGCCAGTTTAAGTAATCGTGAGATTTCTGATTTTTAAGAAACGAGGCCGGGCGGTGGTGCACGCCTTTAGTCCAGCACTCAGGAGGCAGAGGCAGGCAGATCTCTGTGAGTTCGAGACCAGCCTGGTTCCAGGAGCTGGTTCCAGGAGAGCCTCCAAATCTATACAGAGAAACCCTGTTTCAAAAAAAACAAAACAAAACAAAACAAAACAAAACAAAAAAACCCAAAAAACAAAAAACCAAAAACAAACAAACAAACAACAACAAGAAAATGAAAAAAAGAAACTGAGTATGTTCTAGAGGTATTTCAAACTACAAACGCTAAAAGATACTGTCATGTCCATCTCTCCCGAATGCTAGCTTTCTTCTCATTGTTGTCCAGAATGGCACTGTTCTCTCTCTCTGCTTTTCTGTTAATGTCCTCCCCATTCCAGGTCCCACTAAGGTTGTTGAAATGGTTTTCATCCCAACCATGTCCCCTCCCCTATCAATTCACCTTTTGTGCCCTGGAAATGTACTTAAAGTACTCACTATGTCCCCAGTCTTTTTCTAGGTCCTGTCACTTATTTTAGAGGAAAAAAGATGATTTTTCCTGGACTTGTATACATCAGTCCCAGTGGGGAAAACATACGTAAGTTACTGGTTATCTTTGCTCCTGGTGCTATGATTGTGATGGGAGCTCTGTATATATGTGAGGCATATGAACACACACACACACACACACACACACACACACACACACACACGGAGGTAGAAGCAGAGTGATTTAAAACATGACTCTTCCTAACATGATGGGTCACACCTCTAATCCAAGCCCTTGGGAGGTTGGGGCAGGAGGATCCTGCGTTTGAAGCCAGCCTGTGCTATGCAGTAAGATGCTCTTTCAAAATGAGAAAATAAAAAAGCTGGATGTCTTGGAGAACACCTGTAACCCTGGTACTTGGGAGGAGAGAAAAAAATGTCAAGGTTGAGGCCAACCTGGATTAGTAAAGGAGTTCCAGGTTAGTTTTTGCCACATAGTCTCAAAAAAACTCAGTAACAGAAGAAACATTTTATTTATATGTTCGAGTTGATGTGAAGATTAAATAAAGTGCATATGCCTTTAATCTCAGTACTAGGGAGGCAGAGGCAGGAGTATCCCTGTGAGTTTGAAGCCAGCCCGGTCTACAGAGCAAGTTCCAGGACAGTAAGGGCTACACAAAGAAGTTCTTTGAATAATGACTATACTGAATAATTGCTCAGTAAATAATAATATAGTTATGATTTTTAGCTCTCCTGACAAACATGCATGAATCAGAGGTCCAAAAAGATTAGCTTGCTGAGGGTCACCCATGTAGTAAGTAGCTAGATAAGACTCAGATATGATTCTGGTCTAGTCTTACCTCATCATCCATTTTTTTTGTTGTTTGGCTACTTCCGGATCTTATAGGTACTCAGACATTCAACCAGATACCAGGAACACCGATGCCAGACAGCGTTACATCATAGTCACTAAGGGAGGAGAGGAGGAGGTGGGTGAAGGTTGAGGTAAGCATGAAAGACTATTTAATAATTAGCGATCTTGAAACTGGCAGAGCTGAGTCAGGCAGGCTCGAGAGGAAGTGAGTCCTCTGGAAAACATCTGCACTCAAGAAGGTGGGGCCTGTGTTTTGGAAAGAGAAGGCAGGAAGGGCATTTCAGACATGTGTGACATGAACATGGGGGTGAGGAAGCCAAACAGACTTAGCTTCTGGCAGAGAGAAGCTAAACCAGGTGCCCTCACAGATAAGAACAACCCAATTGATGACACGCCTCTTCATGGCAAAAGCAGTTGTCATGAGTTATATTTGGCCTTCTCTCTGAGGTAGTGGGAAGCAGGCAGCTGGTTGAGGGCTGTGCTCTGATACCTGAAGAGATTTTTCTGCTCATTGTGAAAGCAGTGATAGGAGCACCAGTAGAGACGAGTCAGCACTGTGGACATGGGAAGGAATCATCGTCCGGATCACAGTGTGGAAAGAGACGGGGTGGGGAACACCTGCACGCACAGTGCTTCCAGGACCCTGAGCAGAGACCAAATATGGTTTGGGTTGGGAGGAAGGAAGGGACAAAGAGCCACAGTCAAAGCTGGGCAGGCAGCCATGCTCCAGAGGTAGGGGGAGTAAGGAAGAGGCAGTTACAGTAGCCGGGTTCCTCTGCAGCATAAGACAGAGTGTTTGTTTTCAGTCACCTCTTCTTTAGCATAAGGACTGGGCTGCCACAGTCCTAGGCTCCAGGGATGCAGTGCTAGACCAACAAAACCAATCAAACAAACAAAAACCAAAACCAACAACAACAACAACAAAAAAAACCCAAAACATTTATGTTCCTTGGAGGTTGTGGTTAGTGAAGCCCTGTGTAATTGAACTCTCTGTGGCAGGGCAAGGGGAGCCTTTAATTCCAGCACTTGGGAAGTGAGAGAGAGAGGGAGAGAGGCAGAGGGAGAGGGAAGGAGGGTATTTTACTAAACCCGGAGATTGCCACCTCAACTAGCTGTCCCCAAGCTCCTGGGATCTCCCTGTCACTGCCCCACATACCCCACTGATGATGTGTAATAATGCGTTCTCCTTAAACTTCTGGTGTCTCTTGTATTCTTCCTACAATTGTAAAATAAGGATAATATACATATATCTTAATACACACATCATATGGCTGCAAATCTGATCCTCCTATTTAAAAATTCTCCCAGCCACAGAGATGAGAATGGAGAATGGGTTAGTGAGGAACTAGGTATATAGATAGGGAGTAGGGGTGAGCATGGGATGGCCAATAGAAATCTTTCTCAGCGGTATACAGACAGAACATGACCACCAGAGCCTTGTGGTTGGGCCAGAAGGACTACAAGTTAGACCA